CAGGATATTTTTTTCTTCCAGTATCAAAAACTGACGTACAAATATTTTTAAGAAACTTCTATATAACGAAGGCAGATATCTGGAGTAAAAAGTACCCCTAAGTAATTATGTTCTTCATTTCTTAGTTACAGTGGTAAATTGCTTTCTAATGACAACTGAAAACATTGCATACAGGTTTTTTACATGCTCCTAGATGCATATTATCTTCAAAAAAAATCAGTCTGGCCAAACATTTTTGATAATTCTGACAGCCTGAATTAAAACAACTGGTAAAAAGAAAAAATTACCCAGACACTACAGATGTCTCAGAATTTGTCTTTAAACAGGAAATTTTTAGAAAAAAACATGGAGCTTTCTGAAAAGTCTTTAACAAGCTACCTTGGGAGCTCAATTAAAAAAAAAAAAAGCTTGATGTACTTTAAAAAAACCCAGATGTTTCAGTGCAGCTCCAAATATCTTTATAAACACAGCCATTTGGAAGGAAGGTCCTGGATCAGAAGTTTTATTCCTTGTGCATCTACATTAGGCGTGTATGCCTCATTTCAGTTGTCGTAATTGTCCCTGTAATTTCCTCCTGAGTAGCAGTCATAACCACCCTGGCTTCTGCCGCCATAGTCTCTGGACCTTCCATATCCATATCCGTATCCATATCCTCCAGGTCGACTGTCATACCTGCCACCTCCATAGCCCTGGTCTCCACCACCTCTAGGGTAGCCACGACCACACCCATAGGACCCAAAGGTACCCCCTCCTCTTGTTCCTCAGGCTGACTTGCCCGCGTGGTCCACACGGATCTGGCGACCATTCAGAGACTCTCCATTCATGGCTCTCATGGCATCTGAGGCATGCTCTGGATTGGCAAAGGTGACGAAGCCAAAACCCCGGGATCGCTGAGTCTCCTGGTCCTTGACAATGACCACCTCAGAAATAGGCCCAAAGCTGCTGAAGTGGTCTTCCAGAGCCTGCTCGTCAGTGTTGAAACTGAGCCCTCCCACGAAGAGCTTCCCTTCTTCAGAGGACATGGCAGTAAATGCGAGACCTGGAAATTAAGAAGTAAGAAGTCAGGAGAAACAGCTACCGCCAAAGAGCCGAGAGACTGACAGGTGAAGCTATATTTTGAAAAAGAAGCTAGAGGTGAATTCTTGCCATATGTTTATTTTGCTCTTTAGAAGCAGAGAGGCCTCCTTTTAAACATTTTCTGTTGTCCCTCATGTATGTTCATTCAGCTATAGTTATCTCACCCACACACTCACTATTTAATTGTCCACAAACATTACATATCATTATTTAACTTGTTAATGTGACTCTTAATCTATGACCTGGTAAGCTACTAGAGGACTGTGAGACCACTGTTCTGGGTGCTGACTGACTGCTGTTGCCTTCATGGAAGTAGGAAGATGCTTCTCATATTGTATATCCCTTGGGAGAAAAAGTCAGTCAATCCTCATCTTGAACAATTTTCCACAAAATCGTTTGTGCTTAGCTTGGTTTGTTTTATGTTCACTGTTGAAAAATCACAAAAGTTTAAAAACTATGAAAGAGGGTGCTTATTATGAAACAAATCGCTGTTATATGACTGCCTTTTTGTGAAAGACAATCAAATAAACAATATTTTAAAATAAAACAGCAAAAGAAAAAGAGCCTATTTTAAACCACACACACACACACACACACACACATCACACACACACACAAACACTTCATGTGAACCATCTGGTGAAACAACAGCTGGAACAATAGCAGAGAATGAAAGCAATAAATTTGTTCCAGTTCACCTTCTTACTCTACTCTTTGAAGTCAGTGCTTTAATTGGTTCCCTGACAAGGTGACCTGTGAGCTCCCAGTCAGAGGCGGTACCCTCAGACCACATC